TCTATAGGAAGAGACAAGTCCACATATACATATAGACAGAACAAATACAAGATAGTGTGGGAGGGAAGGCACTAGGAGCTGAGGGTTGGGGAAATCAAGGAAGTCTTGGAGTCAAAGATGGCACTTGAGATGTGTCTTGAAGGAAGTAAGAGATGCTGTGAAGGTAAAAGTGAGTCACCCCTTCACGCAGGAACCCTAATCACAAATATTTCCTGGTTATGGGGGCAGAATAGCATTGATATTAAGAATATGTGCTACGTAAGGGAATCCAGGAGCTCGAGTGGGGTAAGAAGACAGAGACTAGTCATGTTATTAAAGGGAGGTGTAATGAGCACCTAGAAACAACAGCAGTGATTGCAAAGAGCCAGAAAGCCAGTTGGATTAGGCTCATTTCATTTTTGACGTGTCTCCAGATTAGCAGACTGGGGAAACATTACCGATGCTTTGTCTAGATTTTAGCAAAGTATTTGACAAAGTGCTGTTTTGTGGATAACATAGAGAGACGTGGACTGAATGATATATAACCGGGTCCATTCGTTAGCAAGTTGTTGAATGGGCTACAAAGAGAAGTCATTAATGGTTCGATGTCAGATTGGAAAGCAATCCTTAGTGGAAGCTGGCAGTGCCCTACTGACACGCTGACATTTTTATCCATGATTTAGATAAAGGCACAGAGGGGAGAAGGGAAGGGCGAAGGGAACACGCATTTACATAAAGCCTTGTGTGTGCCAGACATTGCGCTAACTGCTTTACAAACAGTTTCTCCTTTGATCACCATCCTAATCAAATTTCCAGATGACACTCTGTTGAATGTCTGTAATTTATGCTGCCTATACCTTCCTCTTACATAGTTGTTTGCACTGTCTCCCCCATTAGACTGGAAGCTCCTTGAGGGCAGGGACTTTCTTTGGCCCTTTTTTGTGTCCCAGGGCTTAGTATAGTGCCTGGCACCCAGTAGGCACTTAATAAATGCTTACTGATTCACTGACTAACACAAAGCTGGGAAAGACAGCGAATACACCGGATGATAGGGTTTCTAAAAAGACCTGTATAACACTTAAAAAATTAAACAATGACATTTCACAGGAATGATCACGTGTCAGGTGTGTTGTAGAGGAGATCCCTTTGATGTATGAGTTGGACCAGAATGCTCCTGAGGTCCCTTCCAAATCTCATCTTCCATGATTCTAGTTAACAAATAAACAAGGTTATTACTAAGTAGGACTGGCAGGCACATTGTTACGTAGGGTTTGCAGGTAGGTGTGGGAGAGGCAGAAGGGTGCCAAGCGAAGGGCCCTAGACTCTGGCACAAGACTTTGGTTCAAGTTCCAGCTCTGAGACCACAGGCAAAGTCACTTTCCTTGATTCCAGCCTCAGTCTTCCCATCTGTAAAACTAGTAGAATAATACCTCACAGGGTAACACACAGACCTAAAAGTTTTATAGGGAGAGAAGCTATTACATTGACCATCATCTTGCTTTGAGGGATTGAGGTACAAAAAACATTTCTTTGGGGGCAGCGAGGTGGTGCAGTGGATACAGCACCGGCCCTGGAGTCAGGAGGACCTGAGTTCAATTCTGGCCTCAGACCAAACACTTGACACTTACTAGCTGTGTGACCCTGGGCAAGTCACTTAACCCCAATTGCCTGAAAATTAAAAAATAAAAAAAAAACATTCTTTTGTCATCTCTCAAATATCTGGAGGCTTCTGCAGATCTGGATTTAAAGGTGAAGCTGAGGAACATTACTGTGTGGAAGCCACAGCCCCTGGGAAGACCGGACTTGTCTTTGTGTTGTGGAGGGTTTTGAATGACCGCTTTGAGGAGGCGACAAAAGTGTCTTCACCTCACTGGGTGACGTCACCATTTGTTTTCTCTGACCTAGAGGAAGAGGGAGGCTACTTGCAGGCTAGGAAAAGCTCCCCAGGGCCTCAGAGAGGTGCCACCAGCCATCACCGCCCGGCCTTGGGCACTACCATTCCCCATCCCATGCCCATCACCTCAGGATTCTGTCTGATTCCTGGTCCCGGAGCGAGGATGACCTCGGCTCAAATTGCCTCACATTAGTCATAACCCTGGTCAATTAACCTCTTTCTGCAGCTGCCTCCTCATCTGTAAAATGAAAATAAGGGACATGATGACTGTAAGGTCTATTCCCACTCTAAATCTGTGCTCCGTCATTTACACCTCTCATAATAGTGGGTTACATACACAGATCTGTCCACTTCCCTCATCTCTCAAAGGCTTTCAGTATTGCCTACCAAGTAAATTTCAAACTAGAGTTCAAGGCCCCAAACTTATCTCACACCACGCCACACCATGCATTCTACACTTTAGCCAGACTGGACTCTCCTCTGGTCCCCAAACTTGCTTCCCACCCTCAGCCTCTGTTCACAGTGGTCCTTGTGCCTGAAATGTCCACCCTCCCACCTTCTGCCACCCTTCCCTTAGAGGTAAATTCATATGCCAATACCTCCAAGAAACCTGCCTCCTCCTGAGCCTCTCCCCTCAGGCCTGACACAGTACTTCATCTTGAGACTCCATTACACATTGATCACCCAAGATGGTGTGTGTATGTGTATGTGTGTGTGTGTGTGTGTGTGTGTGTGTGTGTGTGTGTGTGTGTGCATGCGTGTTATTCCTTATTAGACTATCTAGTCTCACCTAGAACAGGCCTCTGTACGTAATAAATGCTTAGTAAGTTGTTCAATGGCTGAATGAATATCTCCAAATCTCTTTCCCCAATCCCTACTCAATCCCTCTGTGAGGGTTAGCTAGATAGAGCACCAGCCCAGGAGTCAGGTGGACCTGAATTCAAATCTCACCCCAGATACTTACTAGATGTGTGACCCTGGGCAAGTCACTTAACCCCGATAACCTCCAAAAGAAAAGAAAAAAATACTTCTATGAAATACCAGCCCCAAATTTCCCACTCCGAGTGAGGCCCCCTCAGCGAGATGTCACCTCAAGCCCAGCATGTCCCTGTTCCATGGGGAGCTGTCGTGTGGAAGAGGGCTTTGTCTTACTTTGTTTAGCCTTCAAGGATGGAACTAAGAATAATGGGGAGGGGGAGGCAGGGCTCAAAGAGGAAAACTTAGATTTGAAATCAGGAAAAACTTTCCACTAATTCGAGTCTGCTTAGGAGGGGCTGCTGCGGGTGGGGTTGTGGGCTCCCCCTCAGGAGCCCAAGGTGACCATTCAGTGAGGATGTCATTTAGGACATGCTTGTTCAGACAGCGTCAGCTGGACCAACTATCCCCCAAAACGCTGCACCTTCCTCCTCAAATCCATCCCCTCCTCCCGCTGCCCAAACCCTCAGGCATTTCTGCCCAGTCCCCCCTTCCTTCTCACCCCTGCATCCCATCAGCAGGTGGTCAGTGGCCAAGCCCTGCCCATCTTCCTCCTCAATGATTCTCACATACAATCAACTTGACAGGCACTTATTAATTACCTTCTGTAAGTGCTAAATAAATCACTGTTGACTGATTGCTACATTCCCCTCATCCATCCTTCTGCCAGGCCCTCCTCATCCCGGTGCTAGTCAAATAATCTGCTTTCCCAGGGCCAGAGAAGGCAGATACCCGCCTCCACATTCTACAGATGAAGAAACTACGGCCCAGTCAGAATCCTGTTTGGCGTCCAAAGCCTTTCACAGCCCACCTTGCCCTCTCCACTGCCCCATCTTCTTATACCTTACACACAAACCCCGCTGCTTTGATCCAGCGACACAGGCCTCCTGGCTGTGCCTAGCACCAGACACTCCATCTGTCCACTCTGAGCCCATGCCCCCGGGCTTGGATGCTCCCCTCCCCATCTCTTGTCCTCCTTCAAATTCTGGCTAAAATCCCACCTTCCATGGGAAGCTGCTCCCAATCCTAGTGCCTTTCCTCTGTTAATGATCTCCAATTAACCTTTTATCTCCACCTTGTTTCCAGAGATCTCCCCATTAGACTGTGAGCTTCTTGAAAACGGGCCTGTCTTTGCCTTTCTTTCAGCTTTACCCGCTTGCCAGACAAAGAACAGATCTTCCACCCTGGACAAATAAAGGCATCAGGTTGATTTTTTTTTTGTTTTTGTTCTTTTATTGAAACAGTAAATGGCCCCCCCACAGCGCAGCAGGAGGAGGGCTGAGGTTACAAGCTGGATACAGCTTCATCTTGTTTGGCGAGGTCAAAACCAGTGCCCTGGAACAATCATCCTTGCCTAGTAATCACTATAAAAACAGCTAATAGCTCAACATTGAACAGAATTAAATTTCTCAACCGAAGAAATGGTGCCTTACAAGGGACTTAAAACAAGAAACATTTTGGTCTGACTCAACTGGCTCCCCAGTCAGGCAGGGGGCAGCTCAGGTCAGCCTGGGGACTGAGCAGGGGCTGCAAAGTGGATGAGCCCTCCGCCCCATCTTGTCCTGAGGTTGGGTAGGTGGGCAGGGGCGGTAAAGGAAGGGGAGGGAGTTAGGACCCTCTCTCTTACATTAAGGTGATGCTACATCTCCCCTTGCCCCTCCCCATCATCTCTGACCTGTGATTAGGATATCTAAGGGAATAGAATAGTTCCCATCCCTGGGAGCTAGGGACTGCCCACAGCTGGTCCCTTCCAAAATCCCACAGGGGAAAGGGAGCCAGGTGAAGAGGTAAATTAATCTTTGGGGAGGCTCAGGGGCTGGCCCACCCCTTCTCTCTTCTGCTGGGGAAACACTAAATTCATTCTTGGCCCAGTGAAGTCCCAAGCCGGGCCAGACCACCTTCCCCTTCGCCCAATGGGAACACACCTCTCCCCTCTCTTCTCTGTCCCCAGCCTGGCCATCCCTGGACCCCATTTTCTCAGGTTAATCATCTGGAGTCAATGAGACTTCTCCTAACATAACATTTAACTAATGACTGTCAGCACCTCTTTGGTGACACCTTGCCCTTTGCCCCCTGGTGGTGCAGCCAGGTGGCAGGGCCAACTCCCTCTCTCCCCGTATACAGGGTGTGCCCTGAGGACCCGGCCGGGCACTCAGTTGGCCGGCTCCTGGGGAGACGGCTGGCTGTGCTCACACATCACCCCTGAGTCCGAGACATCGGTCAGGGTGGCTGAAAGAGAAACAGAACAAGGCATTTTGGGTTTGAAAAAACATGACAAAACTTGTTTCGTGATTCCTCCCAATGCACCAAGCTGCTCAGTCACAGGGCTAGTCTGAGGCAGGATTTGAACTCAGTGCCCTGTCTCCCAGCCAGTGCTCTGTTCACTAACCCCTCTGCCTCTCTGGGGTGGGGCCCTGGCTCAACAGGGCTCTATTTTCTGACAAATGGAAGGGCTCTATCTTTCTGACAAACGAAAAGGGATTTGGATAAGCGGGTAACTTGTCTGCCTGAACTAGCTTTTCCTCTTCTAGGCACTACACAATTCTGAAACCACAGTTGACAGGAAGCCAGTGGGTCAGTCAACAGGGGCCCATCTCTCTCTTACAAATCCTTCTGTCAGCTTCGCCAGGACCGGCCGACACAGAGTAGGCGCTTCATCCACATTTGGTGACCCGGCTTCCCTTCCTGAGCTCCTGCCAGGCCTCCAGACCCTCCTCCCCATCCCCTCGGTGGCAGCCCTCTGGACCTACCAGTAGATTCCTTGTCGGCCAGGGCGTTCATCGGGAGAGGAGGGGGGATATAGTGGATCCCTGGCAGAAAGCCTGGAGGGATGAACTGGGGCAGTGGTGGGTAGTAGCCTTGTCTGAAGTCTCCACTAGTATCCTGCATCTTTGAAAACAGAGACCAGAGCTGTGAGTCCACACGGGGCTGGGGGGGGGGGGGGCGGTGCTGAGAGAAAGGCAGCACTAAGAGCTGAGGTCCACACCAAGGACGCCTGTCCCTCCCCATCACTGAGTCACTGGGCCATGCTTGGGGAGTATTTACCTCTTTTCTTCATTTCTCAAATGGAAACCAAACACGTCTGCTTTCTCTCCTTTTTTTTTCTCTCCCTTCTTTTAAAAGGCCAGGGGGTGGGGGCACACTTTGGGACCAAATAGGCCAAAAGAGCTGGATACAGGTGGTGGGTGGGAGGGATGAGGCCAGAGACCATCTGTATGAAGGTCGAAGGATCTGGGACCACGCCAGCCAAGAAGGGGCCCGGATCGTCAAACTTCAAACAGCCCAACACAACCACCTAGCCTTCCTCTGGGCCTTGGATGAGCAATTAAAATGATTCTGTCCCAAGCCACAAAGAACCTGCCCATTCTGTCAGGATTGCCTGGGCTGTGGCAGGAGGCTTGAAGCCGTCTGAATAAACGCAGCCCAGATCATCCAGTAAGTAACAGGCTTAACAAAGAGCCCGTCTAGCAAACCTGTCAATCACACCCTCTGCTCCCAGAGCTAAGATGGAGTTGTCCCTGCCTTAGCCCAGCTGCTTTCTTTGCACTGAGACCCCCGAGTGCCTTTCAGTGGGCCGGCAGCCACTTAAGTGAAGGCAAGGATTCCAGGGCTCTTGGTGACCCTTGGGGGGGACCCTGCAGGAACTAGGGTAGCATTAGAGACACTGGAAGAGTGTCTGGTAGTTTTTTTCCAGTACACACCGGAAGAGATACTGGTTGTTTTTAAATGAACGCACACATTTCCAATGCCAGAAAATTCCCCATCTGTGGCTCAGGGATTTATTTTCTGACAAGACAGCTCAGTGAATGGGGAAGAGGTTAATCTAGATGCCAGAATCTAGAATCCAATGCTTTACCACAGAGAGAGCACCATGGGGGTGGGGTGGGGTCTGTCAAGGGGCAATGATTAGGTCATAGCGGAGATCTGAGGCTCCTAGGAAGCGTGACTGAGTGCTTTAAGGGACCTCAGAGGCCAGTCTGACTCCTTCATTTTACAGATAAGGAAACCAAGACCCAGAGAGTTGAAGGAACTTGTCCAAACTCACACAGCCAGGAGATATTAGAGATGGGATCTGAACCCAGCTCTGGACTCAAGAACATGTGTTTTTGTCACTGTGCCATGCTATCTCTTTTCTGGGCCTCAGTTTCCTCTTCTGTGAAATGGAGTCATTTTGGGGGGAGGGAGGGGGTCAATCAAATCAGCTTTGACTTGGAGAGGGAACTCAGCACTTCAAAGGTCAGCCCCAGATGTCAAAGGAAAACTCTGAAAGGCAGAAACAAACTTCCTTGCCTCGCAATCACTATAAAAACAGCAAATAGCTCAGCATTGAGCAGAACCGAATTTTCCCTCAAGTCAAATCAGGCAGAAGCCAGAGAATGCCCAACCCACTACTCACTAGCAAGGAAGAGGTCCCCGCTCCATGGCTGCTGGGGACATGGCGGAAGCCCCTCTGGAGGGGGATCCCTGGGGCAGCAGGGGAGCCACGGTAGCTGGGCTGGTTGACGAGGCCCAGCGGGAACGGGCGGTAGTGGTACATGTTGGCATAACCGGGGTACACTTTAGACGGCTCTCTCTCCAGATATTCAGGCCCCATCATGCACTCTGGGGCAATGTTGGAAGGGTGCCCTAGATGAAGACAAGAACAAGGGCCCAAGAAAGAAAAACCAGAGTCACCTACAGAAGTAGCGAAGCTCTAAGACGTGGTGATACTACCCATCCAAGGACAGTGCTCATAAGAGAAATTCACTTGACACAGAGCCCTAGAATTCATTTCCAAAGCATTTTTCTCCCACCAGATCTGAGGTCAAAGTACCTATGACATCAGCCCCATTCTCCAGTCAAAGAAACAAGAGTCCCAGCAATGCCTGGCCCAGGGTAGCTAGGATGGGATTTGAACTCAGGTCATCTGATGCCAAATCCCAGCTTTTTCCAGAACATTATGGAGTTGAAATTCACATATATGAGCTTATAAAAGTACTTTCTCAAATTATTTAACTGATTGCATCACTGCTACTCTATAGTATTTAGCTTGGCAGATAGATACCCATATCTTACCTATAGCACAAGGTTTTGTTGGAAAATGTGCTTTGTAAATACCAAAAGACACACACAACTTAAGGCCTAAAGAAAAGCAAGTTATAATTATCCTGCCTCCCTCCCCCCCACTACTTTGTGGGAATTGTATCAAGTTGAGCATAATATAAAGAGGCGGACAGGGAGGGGGGTGGAGGGTGGAGGGGAGGCGGCCCAGATACGGGTCTTTTTCCCACTACTGAGTGATCTCAGACAAATCCCGGAACCTCACTAGACTCAGTTTCCTGCTCTGTAAAATAGAAGGTTGAGCCTACGTGATCTGTAAGGTCCCTTCCCACCTTAATATCATGCATTTCAAATTCAACGGAGTAAGTTTTCCAAGTCTAAAACTGCACTAAGACATTTGGACTCTATAAAAAGATAACGGCCCCCTCCCTATAATACTTTCAGGTTTCCAAAGTCTTTTCTCCACCCCAGGACTCGGTTTCCCCAGCTTTAAAAACGACAGGGTTGGATTAAAAGGTGCCCATCTAGGATCGAAGGAGGTGGGGAGGCCGGCCACAGTCCTGAGCGCCGCTTTGCCCAGGAGGAAGCCTAGGCTCGGACGGGCTGGGGGCCAAGTGGCGGGCCAGTCACTGGGCTAACAACGTTGAGAATAAGGCGAGTGCAGACCCGCATTCCGCCAAGAAATTTCTCTCACCCTTACACATTCTGAATCCCGGAGGGAGGGCCCGCCGTCCCAAGCCGTCGGATTTGGGGGAGGAGGGGGCAGAAGGGAGAGAGTTATCTAACCCAATCTTCTTTTTGGAAACTGGGAGACTGAGGCCCAAAGAGTTTGAGAAACGGCTTGCTGCAAGCTACAAGGGCAACAACGAGGCAGGAAAAGCTGCGTTTTCTGGGCGTGGAGGAAGGGGGAGTTCCCAGGCCTGGTTACTGGGTCACTACCTCCACCCCTCTCCAGGCCTGTTTTCCCTTTGTAAAACCGAGGAGTTGGCCCGGATGATGCGGGGGGGGGGGGTCCCTTGCAGCTGCTGGGCGTCGCTCCGGCCCAGGCTCCCCCCCACCCCCTCCACGCATCAGGATCCTGGGCCTAGGGTCCCGCAGGGCTGGATCGGGGGTCCTTACCGAAGTCAGCGTAGGGTGGGCTAGGGGAAGCCGAGGTGGAGGCACTGAGCGGCGGCGGCGGCGGCGGGGGCGGCGGCGGCGGAGCGTGCAGGGGCATAGGCATGGGCAGCGGCAGCGCCCGCCGGGGCCCGGTCTTGCAACAGCCATCAAAGCCCCGGGCGCCCACCCCTGCAGCCTCCGCGGCGCCTACGTGGCCGCCCCCGCCGTTGCTCCCGGGGCCCCGCTCGAAGGGCCCCGGGGGGCCGGGTCGAGCGCCCACGTAGGAGGCAGCTCGGCCATCGGGGCCTGCATCGGCTGGGCAGGGGCCGGGCCCGGGCCCGGGCACCGGCATGGGCAGGGGCAGCGGGCGGGCGCAGGGCGCGGGCCCCGGCCCGACGGCGGGCTCCCTGGGCTGGTCGTCGGGCTCGTCGCCGTCGTGCATCTGCCTCTTGAGCACCTTCTGCGCGGCCATGATCTTCTGTCGCTCGGTGATCAGGTAGCACTTCTCGCAGGTGCACTGCTTCCAGCGACATTTGCCCACGTGGCCCTTGACGGGCACCAGGAAGCCGTGGTTGCGGCAGCGCGAGCACTTCGGGGTGCGCAGCATCTTGTCGGCGGGGGCCTCCTTGGGGGACTCCGTCTTCATGGCCCAGCCGCCGCGGCTGGAGGGAGACGGAGGCGGCGGCGGCGTGGAAGGAGGCGGCGCCGTCGGAGCAGGCGAGCGCGGCTGCTCCTGCTGCTGCTGGCGCCCCGGCGGAAGCCCCGCGTGCTCCAGGTCGTTACACTTGTAGCAAGTCGGCGCCTCTGCAGACCATTTGCACAGCAGCCCCTTTTTCGGGTGCAAGAGCGGCAAAGGCCCCTGCACCCCGGGAGCCCGCGAAGGGGAGCCCCGAGGGGTCTCTGTGCTCATCGGAGCAGGGCAGCCCGGACAGGCATAGGCTCCGGCGGTCTGCTCGGACAGCAGGGGAAACTGAGGCCCAGCTCAGGCTGCCTCTGCCGTCTCTGGGCTGGAGGAGTGCATGGCGCTCACCTCGAGTCCCCGGGAAGTTGCTGTTGCATGGAGACCATCTGGGTGGGGGGAGGGTGTGGTGGGGAAGGGGGGGGAGGGGGGTTGCTCGGGTTGAGCGCGAGACTCTGGGTTGGTTTCCCTCCCCAAGCTCTGCCAGCCTGGGCTGCGTGCCCCCCCCCCCCCCCCCAGCCCAAGTTAGGAAATCTCTCGCGCTTGGGAACTTTGGAAGGGTGGCGGGACCCTTGCAACCGCAGCGACGCGCGCACCTGCCACCTATTTGCAGAAGCAGACACCGAGGGAGCATTTCTGCTATGCTCAAGTAGAAAAGCTCCCCGGGTGCAAAGAGCCTGCGTTCAAACCCTCGCTGTGCTCCCTCGAACTTACGTGACCCTTGCAAGGGGGAGGGTTGGCACCAGAGAGCTCCAAGGGCCCTGCCCGGAGCAACCTTCGGGAATTCATCTTAGACCCAGAGGAGCCCTTCCCCCATGTCAATTTCAGTAACACTGATTAAGCGCCTATGGTGTGCAGACAAGACACTTGTATACGTGTATATGAACATATATACACAGTTATACATATATAATATGCAAAGATATACATTTATAAAGATATATGGGGAAAGGTGGGACAGAAAAAGAGATGGTATGCATAAAGGAGATATAAAAAGAAAATTTTCGGGGCAGCTAGGTGGCGCAGTGGATAGAGCACCGGCCCTGGAGTCAGGAAGACCTGAGTTCAAATTCGGCCTCAGACATAATACTTCGTAGCTGTGTGACTCTGGGCAAGTCACTTAACCCCAATTGCGTCACTTTTAAAAAAATAAATAAAAATTTAAAAGTTAAAAAAAAGGACTGGGGCACCTAACTACCGATTCTTCCAGTTTGCCCAGGGCATCCCCTGTTTTATTTTTATTATTATTATTATTAATTTTATTTACTTATTTTGCAAACCAACTCAAAACTGTGGACTTCCAAGTCGAGCCCACCCCTCATGATTATCCTGGGGACATCAAATGAATTCGACATCGAAATTTGCTCAGCTCCGGTCCAGGTCATTTGCCAGAACCACCTGGCCAAAGGGCCTGGTCTTTCGGAAGATGGGAGGTGCCTGGCTGGCTGCAGGCGTCCCTGCCCTCCGGGGCAGCCTCCCTAGGGGAGCTGCTGGCGGACCTGTCTCCAGTAGGCTCCGAGTCTAGGCGTCTTCTCGGATCCAGGCGGGGAACGCAGGTGGAAATCGCCTTCAGATTAGTGACTGCATGCTCTGTCCGAGGCTCGGAAAATGCAGCCCCACTTCACAACCGTCCAGGGTCATCCGGCAAGCACTAAGCCCTGGGTGTGCCCGAGACCGTGGGGATGCACAGGCAGACTACCCCTTCCCCCCAGGACCACAGGATTGCAATATGTAGACATAGGGAATATAAGCCTGGGTAGGTGGCACAGGTACAGAAGGGAAAATCATGCCCCTTCCCCTGCTCGGGGCAAGTGGATTCGAAAAAGATTCACCCTACCTAAGGAGGTGCTGCCACTGGGGTGGGGGGTGAGGAGGTGGCAAGACATCCCCTGCTCTTATTGACTACATAAACTGAGATCACAGAGAAGGGTGAATGGGGGGGATGAGTGACATGGGGGCAAGGAGGCACGGAGACAGAGCTCTAGGAAAGTGGGGGGGGCAGCGCGGTGGTAGCAGGGAAGGCTTCCAGGAAGAGGTGACACAGAGTTGGCCCTTGAAGGAAAAGAAAGAGTACAGTGGGCAGGGATTTTGAGGGAGTAGAATGTCATTTCCCAGCCTCCAACAGTGAACCTGACAAAACCTTCCCATCTTTTAAGACCCAGCCTGGGCAGGGACCCGCTCCAGGAAACTTTCCTGACCCCTCCCTTCTTTGAGCTCCCTCTCCCCTGGCACTCAGTATCCCTCATTTGGGCCCCTCCCACCAAATGTGGATGCTCCCTCTGTTAGGATGAACTGGGAGACCCCAAATGCAGTCCTTCCTGGGAAACTGAGGCACTAGCCCTTGCCATCCACCCTGGCTTTGGAGCCTGACCCTCTGAACTCTCCCCTCCTCCACACAGTAGTGGGATGTCTCCCTCTTTCTGTTTGTACCCCCAATACTTGGCACTGGACCTTAGGAAGCTCTAAATAAAAACTTCATTCATTCATCTCCCAGTTCTATAGTTTATTAGCTGAGAGGTCTTAGGCAGGCAGGTAGTCAGGAAGCATTTATTAAGCACCTACTGTGTGCCAGGCATAGCCTGTACTAAGTGCTGGGATACAAAGAAAGGCAAAAGACAGGCCCTGCCCTCAGGAATCTCACAATCTAATGAGGGAAGATAACATGCAAACAAGAGGTACAAATGAGATCTGGACAGAGGAGATGGGAGGTCACCTCAGAGGAGAAGGCACAGTAGCTAAGAGGGCCTTGGGGGCCAAGGAGAGGCCCCCTGGAAAAGGTGGAATTTTAACTGAGTCTTGAAGGAAGCCATGGGGAGAAAAGTGATCATTGTAGCTGTGAGGGTCAGCCTGTGCATAGGAATAAAAATGGGGATAGGGTTTCTTGTGCAAAGAGAGACATAACTGTGCACTAGAGAACATGGAGGGGAGAAAATGTGAGAAGACTGGAAAGGCAGAGAAAGGGATGGGTTTGGAAGAGCCTTGAAAGCCAGAGAACTTTGTAACAATCATTGGGGTTTTTTAAGTAGACCTCTGGTTTAGGAAAATCACTTTGGCTGCTGGATTGGGACAGACGGATCTGGGGCCAGGACAATGAGGTGATGAGGGTCCGCACCGGGGTGATGGCAGTGAGAAGGGGGGGCTAATGTGAGAGATATTTTGACAGTGGAGTGGACAGACCATGGGAACAGATTTAATGTGGGGAGTGAGGGAAAGGTTTCAGGAGAAACCTAGGTATCTAGCCAAGGGGACTGAGAGGATGGTGGTACCTTGGACAATAATAGTCTAATAGACTATGATCTCATAGAGTCTCTGAATTGGGAGAGGTCTCAGAGTCTAACCCAGCTCCTTTATCACATCTTTCCTGACTGTTCTCCACCCTGATAACAGCCATCTCTCCCCTAGATTTCTCATTGCTGTCTCTACACTTTTTCTTTATGCTTCTCACATTCTGCCTTGTATTACAGGTATGCTCCCTGAGGACAGGTTCTCTGTGTTAACCTATTTTTCCATCCCTTGTACTGAGCAAGTCCTTACACATGGTAGGTGTTAAATAAGTATTTCTTGAACTGGATTTAAATTCATTTCATAGAATGGTAAAACCAGAAGGCAGCTTGGAAATTGGGTTCTACCCTCCTCCTTTTATGGATGAAGAAAACTAAGACCTGGATGGTTTCATTTTTATCTTTGTATCTCCACCTTGTAGCACTGTGCACAAAGTAGCCTCTTATTGGCTGATTGATTGGCAAAAATGATTTTAAAAACAATGAAATTCAGTGCTAGTGGGGCTATGGAGAAACAGGTACACTCATTTGTTGCTGGTGGTATTGTAAACTCATAGAATCTTTTTGGAATAAAATCTGGCAGTTTACAAGAAAGGTTACAAAAGTAATCATCCCCTTTGACCCAGTTATTTGTTTTTGAAAAATAAAAATAAGAGCTATCTGTCCAAAGATTTCCCTGGCGGGACTGTGTGACTGCAAAACGCGAAAACCTAATCTGGAAGCAACCCAAACATCTGACAGTGAAGGAATGGGTGAATACATGGTGGTACATTAGTATAATGGAAAACTATAATTCAATTAGGTGTATGAGGACTACAAGGAAATAGGAGAGAACTTTATTAAGTAAAGCAGAACAGAAACATATAGTCTACACTAATTTCAGTCATCTAAGAGGAGAAGTGAATTAGTGTGAAGGGAGAAAGAATCCGATAAAGACATAGGGCAAGGGAGGGACTGACAAGTTATGATGTTTTACATGTTGAATTTCATTTATTTAAGTTGAAAAGCAAATTTAAATTATTGTATTGATATTGTTTAGGTTAAATATTAAGGGATGGGGCTAGACCTGAGATGATGTTGAAAACTCTCTCTACACCTAAAGTACTAGAAAGAGGCCTGAATCACTGAGAGGTAAATGACTTGCCTAGGGTCTCACAGCCCCTTGGTATTAGAGTCAGGACTTGGACCTAAGATTTGAACACAGATCTTCCTGGTTCCAAGGCCAGCTCTCTAGCTACTGTTTGGTAAGTCATTTCTCCAAAATTTAAGGGAGGAATTGGATGCTGAGAGAAGAAAGGATTTGCCTTCACTCGCTACAAATTCTTCCCATGTTGACTCCGGGGGTTTCAGGAAAATGTGTCATATGGCCATGTGAATTTTCATTGCACTTGGAGAATATTAGTAAGCAACTAATTGAAAGACTCTAAAACTTCAGGGTTTGGATGGAACCCTGGGCAAGTCACTTCATTCTGTTTGCCTCAGTTTCCTCATCTGTCAAATGAGCTGAGAAGGAAATGGCAAACCACTCCAGTATCTTTGCCAAGAAAACCCCAAATGGGGTCACGATGGAAACAACTGAACAACAACAAAATGTTTCATACCCGGCTTAGTTCTGCCTTGGGCACCTTAGATGGGTTTTTTTTCTCTCTA